GTGATAAGACTATCTTTGTAAAAGATACTGGTTCACCTAGTTTTATGCAGAATAGTCCCAAGGGACTTATTTCACTCCTGGCAGTCAGTGTTGGAGCTACTGTGAAGGGAATTTTGGGTCTAAGGAAATGCCACTTAAATTGACCTTTTAGTGTGCGTGAAAGGACTCTTAAGAGGAAAGAACTTGCGTGCAAAAAAGCACTTAGAACTTAGTTATGGCAGAAAGGAAATGTTGCAAGTCGAGAATATCAGATTGGCTAACCTGGATCCAAGCCGTTGTTACCTCTGATAGAACCAGGTGCTTTAGAAGAAGATGAAAATAATCCCTGATGGTAGGAAGCTGCAGGATAGCTCTAGTCCAGTCTTTTTCTAAACCTTCACAGCTAAAAACTGTTGTGCTCTGCTGCAGAAAATCTTATTTTTCTTTGACAAAATTGAATATGCTGGCTGTGTACCTCTGGGTGCCCTTAGCTGTACATGTTTCAAAGCCTTTCAGGATTGCTACAAAATCCTTTATCTTGATTAAGTGATTCTTGGTAAAGTAGAGAAAACTGAAGTTGGGTTAAAGAGCTGCCAAATGGCTTAAGCTGTGCCAAAAAAATGAATGCAAGAAACTCCAAAGGCTTGCTGCAACCCTGCTTATGAAAGTTTGTGTTACTGAGTTAAACGAGCTCATAGCATCACATGCTCCTTTTCCAACTTTGAATTACTCACTTGTATTTGGAAACGACAGTTTTGCCCTAAGGGCAAGCATGTACAGAGAAGATGCTCGGTGCTCATAGTTCAGCTGTACCTACTACTCCCAGTTTTCTTCTCTGTTAGTTATTCCACTCAAGAAACAATGAACATTAACTTTTGTTGGATATTTTGTGCTTTGGGACATATGCACACACCACAGTACTCTACAGCAGTTTATTAAATTAATCAGTTGCTAAATGCCCATGTAGACTAAAAGAACATAACTAAACAGTGACTGTAAGACTGTAGAAGCTAAAGGCTGTATCTTCAATTGATGCAGCTCTCCAGAACTCATGTAAATATTTTGAATATATTGACATTTAGATAAAAAGAAAATTCCCAACCAGTTTCATGTGTAGTTTAATCTTTGACTAGGTCATGGCTGCAGTTTGTTTGACATAAAAGTGCATGTGTTTACTTTTTCCCCAAAACATCAATGTTGAGCTCATGATGGAGGTCTGGGGGCAGAGCTCATGAACTGAGCTTTCCCCTGCCTGTGGCATTTGGGGAAGGAAGAATCTGCAAAGATGCAGTCCTGGGAAACATGCATGGCTGTTGTCCCTGGAGCCTAAGGATTGCACCTCTTTGAAAGGAAGCATGTGTGCTGGGAAGTAGAAGGCAGCCTAGATTTGGCTATCATCCAGCCATCCAGGAGGGAAATGGTGATTCTGGCCCGTTTGCTGAGGAAATGCCTGCACAGCCACTTGGCACTCCACAACTTCTCTACACAGATACTTCTCATGTAAACTATTCTTGCAAAATATCCACTGTTGCCTCCCAGTATTGCACTGGGAATGTCTCTTCCAGGGTGTGCTTGTAGGGACTCTCTTGAGCACTGCCAACACTCTCTGCTATTGCTCCCTGAGCCTGGACAGACAGGAGGACAGTGGAATGTCCCAGTAAGGCACTGGAGTGCACACTGTGAGCTGGGCACAGCTCCTTGCTGCAGAGTAGCCAAGGGTGTGACTGTGAATGCAGACAGGAGAGCTTCATAGCCCTTCTGGGCAGTGTGGCTGATTGTCACCTCCCCAAGTTTATTTCTTAAAGCTGTTTTTAAGACAAGGTTGTGGAATGGCTGATGCCCCTGGCCAGTGAAGGGTGAAAATCTTTGGTTTCATCTCATTGTAGGAAGACAACCCTCTTCAAACAGATGGGGAATGATTTCAAGGTAATGAATTGAAAGCAGGGAAAAGCAAAAATCACCATCTTAAAATAGTTCCAGCAAATTGTAAGGGTTTGCATTTTAATTTTCTCAAACGATTTTGCAAGTTACTAAGACAAAACCGTTCCAATCATTTATTTGACTGGGAAGTCAATGTTCCTGTGAACAACAAAAGAGTGCAGTGAACCTTTACTTCTCTTCCCTTGGACCCAGCTGCCTAAACAGTGCAAAAAGGGGTATGAACACTTAGCAGATATGGCCTTGGCAGGAACATGGGAAAGTTGGGACATGTGCTCTGGTCCAAATTTTTCTTTAGGGGAAGCCATGTGAAAGAGCAAACACATGTAGGAAGTCACAAGTTTAACTGAGAGCAGAACTGGGTTTCATACGTGCAGAATTGCCTAAGCTGCTTTTTCTGTCAGGCCTAGCAATTGCCTGGGATTTTCCAGGCTTTTTTACCTCTGCCATATAGCAGAGCAAGTCACATATCTCAGACATCCAACTGCTCTCAGAGGTGGCATGGCCACAGCTTGCTGCTGCTCATTGTGGGAGCCACAACACTTACAAGGAACATCTTGCTGATGTGGTCTGGGTTGTGGTGTTGGTGACAAATGTAGGTTTTCTTAGTTGAAGCAAAAAGAAACCAGGTAAAGTGTCACAATATTGATGTCAAACCATTATCATTACATATGTGGGTCCTAGTTTTGGTACATCAGCCAACAATATAGCTCTAAGTGTAAGCTTTTCTGGGTGATAAAGGCAGAGATGCTGTAGGCAGCAACAAAGTGAAACTGGGTTTTAGCTTCTGCACAGAGACCATATGGAACTAAAACACTGATCAGATTTTCCAACACTTGATTTTGTATTCTGTCTTAGATTAGATGCTGTGCATTCTGTGTGTGAGTGAGTGAATGGAACACTTAATATTCTCTTAGGCAGAAAACATGCAGAATTTTAGATTTCTGTTTTACCATAATTGGAGAGAAACACCAAAGCATCAAAGCACTACTGTGGCCCATGGAGGATCACATTGGGAGTGATCCTCTCATAATGGAAAACCAACAGAACATGAAGTTCTCATGAGTGAAACAATGTAGTTTGTCAGGATTATTTAGCACAGAGTCTGGTACACCTTAAGGCTGGCTAGAGGGAAGGGTGGGTGCTGGAGAGGTGCTTAGGAAAGCAATGAGTTCTGACACCACAGCTTAAGCTCCCCCAAATCAGGAGGCAGCAGAATCAGAGTTATCTGACAGGTTTCATGAGACAGAAAGGTAGAACTTACATAACCTGAAGTGAAAAGTCAATAAGTAACAAGGAAATTTCTTTCTAAGGAAATAGAGGTTGGTTCAGGTGCAAAGTATTCTCCATACAGTGTTATGGCTTTATCCATAAATGTGTGCATCAACAAAACGGCTTTGTCAGTTCAAGAAAAAATTAGAAGTGAATTGCATAAGTTTGTAGGTCAAGGGCTGGCTTCAAGGCCAACTACAGATTGCTTAATTACTTCTTCTAGAAAGTTTATCCAAAGTGTTGGGCTGAATCATTTGTTTGCAGTCAAGGTACACAAGGAGAAACAGTTACTTTATGACTATTCCGTGTGATGTGTTTCTTGGGATAGCAATAAAAAAGAAGTCCCCAGATTGCTACGTTCAGCGGTCTTATTGTACAAGCAAAGAAAGGACAGTGGGTTATTGTACGTGAACATTTTCCTGTAAAGAATTGTGCTGTGAACAGAACTATGACAGAGCTTGTGGTTCTGGAAAGACATCCTGGTTTTATTTGCAAAGGTAATAGAAATTCTAGTTTTATAAATTTTAGTAGGAAATAGAGAAACTCTTCTATTTTTTTACAGAGGGTAACTTTATCTCTGCAGACTTGCACACATAGGAAGTATTCTTTATTTTCCTTATTACAAAGCCAGCCAAAGCATCATATATGGTTTTGTCTTGTATCTATAGTACCAGCAAGTATGGACTTGAACATCTTTGTTCTACAATGTTTGACACGCAACGCTGTGATATATTGAAGACAGATTTGAAAAACCTAGTAACAGGGCAGTCTTAAATCACCTAAGCAAACAAATGCCATATTTTCTCTGAAAGCTTAATTTTTCCATGGCTGACATGGACACATTGGTTACATGCCAATAAATATCTGAATAATGCACGTAAAAGCCTTTGCTGTCAAAAAATCACTATGAGTTATTTAAGAGCCCTGTGCAAATGCTTGGATAAAGGCCCAGGAAACTTGAGAGTCCTTACCCCTCTCTCCCCCCCCTTCAGTCTGACAGCATTTACTGAGTCAGATTTTTCAAAGGATTGACTGGTTACTAAACTTTGATGAAACAATGGCTTCACATTTATTAAAACAACTTATTCTGGTGGAATTAAAATAGAGTATTATATTAAGTATTCTGATCTGACGAGGTCGTGAGAGTACAGAAATCCTTCTCATGAGCTACTTTTATCTTTTAGATCACATGAATGAAAGTATGCATCTAAACTGTGTATCAGCAGTCCTGATTTCCTGGAAATTGTGGTTTCCAAACAGATGGCCTCAGAGATAAACATGTGCTGCATTTACTACTTGAACCGAGCACTTTGGCATAAAGCTATTTCATTTGTGCAGGGCACTTTAAATTTAGCAAGCCAGATCGATTATTCCCTGAATTGAGTAAGATACCTTGGATGAAACTCCTGATGTATTCTAAATTTTATGGAAGCAGTTTGACTCATTTTACTGCTACCGTGCAAAAGGCTTATAACGCTTTATCTCACAGAAGAAAAAGAAATACCAACTGAAATCAGTATTTTCAGACCCACTATATATCTGTGATGTCCTGAGGGTTAAAAAAGGGAAATATTTGTTCAGTGCAGGACTTCTGACAAGCATGAGTCTGTAAGTCTGCTTTTGCTGCAGTCACACAGTCAGCTGAACATTACTAAGGACCTTTCTCTTCATCATTCATTCAGGAGCCGGGAAGGGAAATATTCCTGCTGACTCACGCTTTTTGCTATTTTCCTTGCTCCGCCTCCAGGCATTTTGGCTCCTCCTCTCCCCTCTTGCTGCTGGTTGCCTACTATATTTAAACAGCTGTCTTAGAGCACAGAGAGGATTGCAGGCTGGTAGTTTGGTTTGCTGTCCTGACTGTACAGTCACTTTCATAAAGATCCCACCTCTCATCAGACCTGCTGCTAAAGGTAAGAAGGCTCCAAATAAGTACAGAGAGCTCTGTCTGGTGTACCCTAACATCAGCTTCTGAGTATCACAGGGGTCTTTTTAGAAAGGTGTGATTATGTTCCACAAAGTTGCATTTTTTCCACATAGTTTAATTGTGTTTGGGAGGTAACTGGCCTGACAGGTAAGAGTGACGATACAAGGAGAGAACAACTTCTGAAACTTGAAGGGAAGTATAAAATATAAAAACTGTCAAGGTCTCTGCTTTTTAAAAACGTACTAATTAATTAAATATTAAACTGGTGAAACAAGGGAGTTGATGAGGAAATTAAGCTGAAGAAAACTATTGTTGCATCTGTGTTAGAATTGTTCTTTAAAACGGAAAGAAAGTTCTGGTGCCTCGTTTAATGTCCCCCAGTGTTTATGCCCCAACTGCATTGCTCTTTTGAACTGTCCCCATGTGCTGTTCAGGCCACACGTGGGGATTCTTACTTTAGCAATATCTCATGGCTCTTACAGGGAGAGTTATCTGCACATGGCTGATGTAACCTGGCTGTTTTATTTCTCCAAGGATCACACAGCGTCCTTGTCTTGCTAAGTCTATCTTTGCTTTTTCATTTTCTCACTTAAAACCTGTTTCAGGCTTGCAGCCTGGAACTAGTAAGAGCCACACTGACTGAGTTTGTGAGTTATAGTCCCTCTAGACATGAGGCTGTGTCAGGAAGGTATGCAGAGCTTGGCCCAGAATGAGCTGGGTGCTTTTCAGCCAGAAACAATTATGTAACATCACGCAGACACTGGAATGCTTTGGAAGCAGCAAGAAGCCAAGTTGTGAAATTTGCTGCATTCTCCCAAATGAAGAGAAGGAAAGGGACATCTATTTAAAGTAGGAAGCTCAAAGCAGGAGCCAAACTCTGTGTCACTTAAGCTGAGTAAGTGTGAGTGCCCAGCAGCCTACACTACATAAAAGGAGGGTGAGAAGAGCAGTCTTAAGTTTCTTGCTGTCTCAGGCTTTTTCCTGGTGCTAACTAGTTCAGTGTAGATTTACAATGAACTTCAGTGTTCTGTTGCTTTCTAATAGCCTCTGCAAGAACAGGCTTTCCTCTGCTGCACTGTGTTAGCTGCCCTAAGGAGTCTAAGAATGGAAAAAAAAAAAAAAGTAAAATAATCCACCTTAATGTCTAATGGCAGGAAAGATGAATGTTTGGCCTGAAACTAAAGTGGCTGAGATGCTCTGAGCTCAGTTTTACCCCTAGAATTCAAACCTACCTTTAGCCTTGGATGGGAATAGCTGTAAACTGTTTCTGCACCTGATTCACTTTCTGCTTAAAAAGAAGAATTAATAACTACAAATTATAGAGATGGCAGCTATAGGACGTGAAAGGGACTTCTTCCATTTGTAGAGATGCTAGGATGGTTAAACTTGTGTTGATAGAATTGTCAGTGGCAAATCTTCAGGAAACAAAGTGCGTAGCACTGAATTGTCATTAGGGGTTTTGTGAACCCAGGTACTGAATAAATCCGTGGTTAAAAATGGTCACATATGTGCACAGATCCAGTTTCATCAGACTAACAATTGTGCTCCTCTGGCTATTAAAGTTTAGTTTAATTCCATAAAATGCTCCTCTTTGATGTGTCAAAAGGTACAGAATGGAGGGGGAGGGTGAGAGGAGCAGGGAGTTATCAGTGAGCTCGTGGCTGCTGCCTCTGTGCTTTATCAGGGTGGAGAAGGGTGGCAGTGTGCAATGGCCAGGAGCCAAGGCAACCTTCCTCTAAAGCAAACAGGACTGCCAGGCTGTCTTCTCCTGGCTTGTGCCTTTTTTTGTCCCCTTCAGGCTCCCCCAGATAAATGCTGGCACACAGTGCCCTGACTCTGTGCTCGTGCCTGACAAACGTGCTTGCAGGCTCCTCATGTCTGTGCTGGCTCTGCTGCTGCCCTGGAACTGCTGCCATGTGCTCTCTTGGGTTGGTTCAGCACTCTTTGCTTCCAGCAAAAATCCCACAGATGTGCATGCAGTTTTTCCGTGCATGCTGCTGCAGGGAGCTGTGGAGCAGAAACCTGGAAGATTGCTTCCAGAGATCTTGCTTTCCTCTTGCAGGATCCCAGTAGTTTTACAGAAACAAGATGTATACTCTGTGTTAGGAAAAATTGATGAGAATTTTTCTTGTGTAATACAGTCGTGGAGAGAGGTTTATTTGTTATCATGGAGAAGAAACTTCTGCTAAGCTGCAGCTGGATGCTGTAGTTTACTGGTTTGAGGGGAATACCTGACCAGTCACACCAGTGTCCTGCTTCTTTGGCAGTCCCAGGTGCTAGTGCTGAAGTCTACCAATTGCAGCTCTGAAGCTTTGTGGGAAGGAATTATTTGAGGGTAAACTTACACCACAGTCTGCTGAAGGTGGTGCAGGTTTTGGTTAATGTGGCAGAACCTATCCAAAAGGCTGGGGAGATCCTTGGGTGGTTGTGCTGTGCTCCCCCAGCTTCCAGGGCTGTGGGGATGCCTTAAGGGGACTTCATCTCCTGCAGTGAATGCAGCTACCTTTGAGTCTCAATTAAATTGGCAACATAAGCTTCATTGAGATCCAGCTCTCTTCAAAGCTAAAGGCTTCAAATTACTTAAATTAGAAAGCACAACTATAGTATATTTTAAGTGGTTCATGCCCTGTCAGGCATGAGAGTCTTAGACTAATGCCTAGTTAAGTGCTAACAGGCACCCAGTAAGTGTTGCTAAACTGCAATCCAAAATTTGGACAAGGCTGCTAGTTTTGAATTAATCTTGTAATCTTTATGTGATGAGCCCTTGGAGCAGAGCTGTGGAGCCCAGCCATGGCTGTACATTGGTGTGTGTGAGAGCTGTCACATCCTAGCAAGCAAACGCATTCAGAACACTCCTGCTCAAGCCTGGAATTTGCAAATTGTAAACTCACTGGTGGTTTCCTGGCTGCCCATTCAGTCACCAGGGTCCCACGCTTCACTGGAGTTGCTGTGACGTAAATGCCAGGCTTAAAGAGGGGCATTACACTCGTAGGAAGGCATCTGCTGCAATATCTGTGTCAAAGCACTGATGTGCCAGCCCTTATGGAACTGTGGAGTGCACTTGGCCAGGGTGTGGAGAGCATGCCCTACTGGTCAAAGTCGTGCCATTCCGTGGAGTTTTGATTAGCTTTCCAAAATGAGAATAAGATTTTTTTAATAAAAGGGAGTATTTTCTGTAGGATAACTTAAAAGGTTTTGATGAATTTCAGAAATGTCACGTTTATTGTGGTAAAAATAACTTCTCTAGGTTAGTCACAGTAGAGTTGAATTCCATGGAAAACTAAAGAAGTCATTGTTTGACGTGGTAGGATTCCTGCAGGAATGGCAAAAGCATTCACTGTTCATTGATGTCTGAATAATGATTAGATTAGTTTTGTAGATTCCACTCTAATGACACCTTATCTCCAAGATAACTATGAGGCATACTTTGTTCAAAGACTTGTTACTTACTTGTTCAGACCTAGAACTCTTCATTTTCTGTAAAATTAAGATAGAAAGTTCCAGAACTAAAGTAGCACTTCTCAAAAAACCCTATAGTGATAGAATGGTACCTATTTGAATATGCAGCCAGGAGATTTCCAGCCTTTGGGCAGAAGTCTTGAGTGAGGTTTACTTTACTTATCAGTAAATGCACAAGTTGCTTTAAAAAGTGCTTATGATAATGACATGTTTTTTAATAGAGTATGGTCAGAAGTGAAGTTTTTATTAACAAGCTGAAATACTTCATTTAATATAGTCAGAGGGTTACTAAAATTGCCAGCTGTCCTAGCATAACTGGAATTCATGTCTGAAAGAGAAAGATAACTGTTCTCTCCCCCTTTTGTGATGCATAATCAGAGAATCATCCTTTGATTTTGGGGTCAGGAGGAGAAGAAGATAAGGAGGTCTGTCCTGAGGGTGCAAGTGCAATGTGACAGTCTGCAATGCAAGGGTAATATTTTAGATTGGCCTGAGTTTGTGGGCTGGAGAAAATCCTGTGGGATTTTTCTGGTTTGTTTGCTTGTGGGTTTTTTGTCAAGAAATGCAAATAATTCAAAACATATTTGTTTCAGCAGGTAGATACCAGAGCATAAATGCTTCCAGATGGGAAGATGTATCCATTAGTGACCAGACACTCAAATAAGAGTGGGCTCAAGACACTGCCTGTTGTGATCATAGGTAAGCCTTCTCCTGCCAGCACTGCTGTGTTCTCTTGTGCTGTTGTTGCTTTGGACTTGCTACCTTAAACTTCTGTTCCAGTTCCACATGTTCTCACTCAAAACAGAAATGCCTGACTACTGTTTCTGCATCATTTCCCAGACAGCCAAACTTCTTATAGTACTAAGACAGAGACCTCTAAGAGTTATGAGAAGTAAGGAACAAGATATTTGACGAATTAAAACACATACCTATTTTTAATGGTAAAATTGGTAACCTTTTGAGCATCATTTCATCTGAGCCTGCTTTTCCTCTGTTGGATATTTGGAAAGATTTGAAACCTTTTAAGTGCAGATAGTTAATCAGCTTGCTGTGATTATCTGTAGTGCTGGAATTGAAGGTAGATTTGTGTGAGTTTTTTCACCATTAAGTCTGTTTAGAGAGTACTCCAGATGCTGTTAAGATTTCTTGACACTTTTCACCAATTTCTTTTAAAACATGAGTGAGCTACACTGATTTTGTACAGATTTAGTAGACTTATAAAATGCAGTTTTCTACCAGTTAAAAACCCCAAGTTATATAGTAACTGTCTTGCCTCCCATGCAAGAGGGAGCTTTGCAGTGGGAGGTGATTCTTGGAGCAAAGGAATGATGTCAGTGCCTTCCCCTCTGACCAGCCATGAGCTGTGCAGGTGTTGGACTTTGTTCATCTGAGCCTGTTTCATGCCTTGCAGAGCTGGGTTCCCTCCTTATCTGGCATCGAATTCAAAGCAGCTGAGGGAGCTGCTCCAAAGTTAGAGCACTGCATAAATCACCCCTAATCCTGGCTAACAGCAAGTTTGACAGGGATACTCCTACCAGCAAGTTCTTGTCTGAGAATCACTTTGTGCTGCTCAGTTGTACAAGTCTCTGGGTGGGAAGGGAGATATTTTGGTACCTCCCCAGTGCACCTGTGCAGGGACCCAGGGTGGAGATGCCACTGAACCTCAGAGAAGCAGTGTGAAGATATGCACTGAGCAGGCTGCTGGACTGAGGCAGCCCAGCTGTTTCACTGCAGCTGGACAACACTGCATGAAGGTTCCAGCTACTCCCCCAGGCCCTGCTCCAGAAGGCTCCCTCAGCTGTGCTGGCAGCCTCATGGAAGCAGTTGCATTGTAAAATAGCTTGAGCCCCAGATGTTCTTGTGACCATCCATATCAAACTCAGACATGGTTCAGAATAAATCCTCTGTGTGTAGTCACTGAGTGTTGTGCACTCAGGTGGTGAAGTTTGGCTTGGGTACCTCCTCGTACTTCCAAAAGCAAAGTGGTAACCTGGAATTTGTTACATTTTACTATAGCTGCAGTTTAGTTTGTTTTTGGTGTCTGTTGCTGTTGGTTTTGGCTAACTTTCCTGCAAGTGGAATATTCCAAACACTGACCTGCAGCTGCTGGTCCGTGCTCAGCACAGCAGCCTTTGTCCCCAGCTGTGACATGTACTGCCCTTCACACAGCTCACTGCTGGCTTTACAGACCTGACCTCCCTCCTTCTGGGGTCTTCAAGGATCAGCCTTTGCTGCAGTCACCTCCAGTCCCCCTTGCAGCATTGGCACTGTGTCAGCAGGCTGCTGTCACTTGGGCTCTCCTCCCCTCTTTGTCACTGCATTGTCATGGTTGTTGGCCACACAGCAGCAAAGCCTGGGCAGCCAGACAGAGTGACAATTATAAATATATTCACTGTAAAATGTTGAACATGCTGGAGAACAGCCATGTGCAAACTTTCCACAGGCTACTCTCACTGGGCTTTGGAGTCATATATATCTAGTTTTTCCACTGGCTGTTGGGTGGTCAGCAAATGAGCTCAGCCATGCAGCAGCCTGTTCAGAGTGCTGTATTCTGAGGGCTTGGCATGACAGAGAGACTTTTTCCTTAACACCCTGCAGTTCCAGAGTAGAGCTGGTTCCCATTTGAAAGTGTCCTCAAGACCCATTAGTCAAAGCTGCTATTGCCAAATATCCATTAAAAGATGGAATTTCTTGCTGACAAGAACTGGTTCCCCTTCACTTCAATAGTCACTCTCTTTTCTGGATCTTATATGCTGTGCACAGTGAACTACTCTGCATGGTGTGAAATCAGTGATCAGTTTCTAAACCTCTAATTTTAGACAAATAATTCATCACCATGCTAGAGACTTCAAGCTTCAAGTGAGGGCAAGGTTACCATGACTTAACCCTGTGTCTTTTCAGTAAGTTCTAAGGGCCTTGCAATGCAAATAGGAGCAAGTGAGGTGAGGGGTAAAATGACTTCCCCAACTCCATCCAATAGGTCCATGCTGGAACAGGAAATCCCCTGTATCCATAGCAGTGGCATATCTTTTGTATTGGTCTGCATCTTAAAAATACTTCTCAAAAACTGCTCCTTCTCCAGAACTATAAATTCTTCTCCATTGTTTTTTCAGGGAATGGACCATCAGGAATCTGTCTCTCATATTTGCTGTCAGGTTACACCCCTTACTTCAAAAGACACTCTCTTCATCCTCATCCTATTCTTCAGAGAAAACTGGAAGAGGCACCAGAAGTCTCTGTTTTGGATCAGGTTTGTGAAAAGATAAACAGTATGACATCCCATAAAACATCCTAAGGGTGTATCATAAGCGATTACCTTGTTTGGATTTTCAAAGTACACAGACAGAATGAGCCTTAAGCAAATTTTGCTTTGTAATCCAGATGTCCCTTGTATGAAATGCCAGCACTGCTGCTAAGATCCTCGAGGCAGCCCTTGGGCAGGAGCAGGTCTGTGTGCCTGTAAATGATCTTCCCAAGCACACCAAACCCACTGATCAGAGATGCTGGAGTAACAAGCAGTCTGCTGCCTGGCAATACATGCACTTTGAACATGTGGTCTTTCTCTCTCTAGGATTTGGAGTATCTGTCTGAAGGCTTGGAGGGACGATCCCAGAGCCCTGTGGCTCTTCTGTTTGATACTCTGCAGCGTCCAGACACAGACTTTGGTGGGACAGCAGAATCTGTGCTCACTTGGTGGCATGAGCCTGACAGAGCCATCCCCCACCTGGTCCTTGGCAGAAATGCTCCTGGAGGTGCCTGGCACGTAAGTGAATTGGAGCCAGCTGGGGTCTGGGTGTTGTGTAATAGCCAAATGTGTTGACTGGAGAGAGAAAAGCTCCTCTAAAGTGCCAGTCAGCCGTGTTAGATTTTATGTGTATAGTCTAGTGAAAGTTTAAAAGGAAAGCAAGCATGAGAGGCCTTTATATTCCCCATATCTTTTTCTTTTTGGAGAACATGGATGGTTTAGTCCATGAGAGCAGATCAGAGGAAATTACTGATTTCATCATCTGTGCCATATTGAAACATGGAAAAGTTGCCTTTTGCTTTTTACATTTAAAAAGTCATTTTACTCTTGTTTCAGTCTATAGAGGGCTCTATGATTACCCTGAGCAGAGGAGAATGGATGGGACTCCCAGATCTCCCTTTCAAGGACTGGTTAAAGCAAAAGAGAAGGTGAGATATCCATGTGGGATCATTTGCAAACATCTGGAGGTTTTTAGAGAACATGGAATGGACTTCTTGAATGTAGCTACCTATCTGTTATGGATGATTTTAGTGAGAGAAAGGACACCCTCCTACACCCCAAAACCAGTCCATTCTACATTGAGGGATTCAGATAAAGTTGCAGTGCTGCTTGGAATGTGTCCTTCTCCACACCCACTGGGGAGATGAATCCGTGACCATGAGTTCTGAGTAAAGCTTGAAAGCCTGGTCACCTGGCTTCTACTGCTGCTGCCCCTGATGACAAGGACAATCAGTTCAGCTGCTGTGCATTCTCTGAGGTGCTGGTTCTCTTGACATGTGTCACAATTAATCCTAAGAAGTCCAGGAGTTAAAAATGGAATGGAAGCAAGATATTAGAGGAAGGCTTTAATAACCAACCATGTTCTTGGGGTTGGGATTAATGCTAGAGAACGCCTCTGTCCAACAGCTTCTGTTAGCTCTATATGTCAGGAATAACTTTGCTGAAGTTGGAGAAACTAGATCAGACTTCTCTGGTAGTGCCAGGATAGATGGCTCTAGGATACATTCAGTGCAAGAGGGGACAAATTCCAGTCTCTTACTTAACTGCTGCTTGACCTTTGTTTGTACTTTATTACAGAGGCCTCAGAAACAATAGAGCCACAGCAGAGGACATTGCTCAATATTACCAACACTATGTGATGAAGAAAGGACTGCAGAAGAATTTCAGATGTGGCACTGTTGTGACCTCTGTGAGGAAAGTGAGTGCAGAGAGCATCTCCAACCACACCCAGAAAGATCTGCAGGACGACAGTGGCTCACTCTGGAACTCTAATGAGAAGAGTACAGAGGTCTTTCAGGTGGATGGATTTTTCAAAACTATGGAAGGTGATAAAGAGCCCTTCTCCATCTATGCAGAGAATGTGGTTTTGGCTACAGGAACATATGACAATCCTACCTGGCTTGGAGTCAAGGGAGAAAACCTTTCCTATGTCCACCACCAGCTGTCTGCCCTAGAAGAAGCAGTGAAGAACAACAGTGTTGGCATCATGTCAGATCCAGTCTTGATTGTAGGTGCTGGTCTGACAGCTGCTGATGCGATTCTCTTTGCTCACCATTGCAATATTCCAGTAATCCACGTTTTTCGGAGACGAGTCACTGATCCGGGCCTTATTTTTAACCAGCTCCCCAAAATGATGTACCCTGAATACCACAAAGTGCACCAGATGATGAAGGAGCAGACAGCTGCCTGTGCTGGGCCCTATGAGCGCTACATCAGCCTCCCTGAGCACCACGTGCTCTCCTTTGGCAAGGACAAGAAATGCATCTTTCAAGACAAGAATGGCTGTCAGAAAGCTTATAAAATTTCCATGGCTCTTGTTCTAACTGGCTCAAACCCCAACCTCTCCTTTCTGCCAAATGATGGCATTGACTTGGCAGTGGACAATGAGCAGCCAGTCAATCCAAAGAGGAATCCCATAGATGTTGATCCATTCACGTATGAATGCACTCAGGAGAAAGGGCTCTATGCTCTGGGACCTCTAGCAGGAGATAACTTTGTACGCTTTGTGCAGGGAGGGGCTCTGGCTGTTGCCAGCTCTCTGTTAAAGAAAGCCAACAAAAATCCCCCCTAACAAAAACCCCCAGCCCTGTACTACCTGGATGGGTTGGTGATCTTTCCATGAAGCAGCAAATCATCTGATTTGTATATCCTCAAATCTAAAGGCCATTCCTGGTGTTCTTCAAGGTTTTATGGAGAGTCAGTAAGTTCTTGCTGAGTTATTTGAGAAGATTAATGCAGGGTGAGTCCCACACACAGCAGTATCTTCAATTCCTGAGAATCCAACTCCTCTTCTGCATAGCTGTGCAGAGTTACTGGGACTGAAGCTTGTGTCTGGGGAAGCAAGGGCAAGATAGGAATTGCTCTTCTATCTGAAACCCTCCAGGTGACTGAAAATTGGATTGAGGAATCAGTGTTAATTATTTTCAGATAGCAGACCCACAACACTGTGTCTGTTGGTGTCTTACAGTGTTTTGTCATGAAACAAAGTAAACTGACCTGGTTTTATTCACTCCTGTGGTTTGGCTGTATGTTCTTGTCAGGCCAGAAATCGCTGCCAGGTCCTGCAGGTACCTCTTTGGCACGTGGAGGGGTACTCTGCAAGTAAAAACTGACATACAAACATTCAAAACTATTTTGTCTCACTGACACCAGCAACGAGTAATATATGATTTTTTTTTAAAAGTCGAGGGATTCCTGTGGTGGGTTCTTCTCCTTCCTGAGAAGAAATGGTACTGATTTGCAAACACTTGGTTTGCCATCTTGTAGCTTCCTGCTTTCTAAATCCTAAACCTGTGACAGCCAAACTCTTGGCATCTGCTGTAGAGTCAAGCAGAACTAAAGGGGAGCTGCAGGTCTGTCTTGGAGCTGCCCACATACTGTATGGGGCTTCTGCTGCATGGAGTACTCTGGAAAGGTGCAATATATTATATGCTGGGTGAATTACTAATGTATTGTGGTTTTTCTAAAAATAATATTATTTGTATAAGAGGGAAAATGGCACGGTCACTTTTTTGGTAGCTTTATGCTATATCTATCTATCTATCTATATATATATATATATAAACTTTTTATACTGTTTTTCTAAAAGATTTTTATTGGCAGAGTATTTTGTAACAGTTTCAGTCTGTTCTGAATGATGCCTTATGTTGTAAGCAGCATTCTCAATAGACCTACAGGGGCTTTCATCCTCTCACAGGAAAAATTGCAGTCAAAGCTAATTTAATTTGATGTAAAGACAGACTCTGCTCCCTGTCCTGCACTGAAACTCACTGACATCACAAGTCTCTGAAAAACTGAGTGGGATGAGACATCTGTAAATGAATTGGCCTGAATTTGTGATGTGGGAGGGGCTTGTCTATGATGTTACTGTATCACACTTGAATCATTTTTCTGACTGATTATTCTTGTATGAAACTTTCCAATAAAGTGATTTCAGACTTAACTTGTGTTTGTTTTAACTCTGAATCTCTGACCCAGAGAAGACCTAATGAACTGTTCATCACCATCATATTCCTGGTGAATACCAGGGCATGGTTTGTGCCTGCTAAATCCTTTATCCCTCTGTTCCCTAGGAGGACCCTACTGTGAATTTGCTCTCCAGTATCTTTGGCTCTCCAGTAGGATGAAGAACCTTGTAAAATGCCATGCCTATCTCTTGTGACACTCAGGCAAAGCCAAACCAGGCTCTTTGCCAAGCTTGTTCTTGCCTGGTGGATCTTACATCTCTTTCCTGTTCACCTGCTCTCTCCTCCTGTCTGCAGAATAACCCCAGATTACAGCCTAGACCAGTAAGTCAGTTAAGAGAGTTTAGATCAGAAGGGACATTTGAAGGTCTCTGGTCCAACACCACTAAAATTAGAAGTTGCTCATTTGGACCTGGTTGCTCAATGCCTCGTTGGGTAAAGCTTTGAATATTTCCAGGACAGAGATTGCACTGTCAACATTTGATTACCCCATTTAACATTTTACCACCTTTGTTGTTGAGAGTTTTTAAGGTATTTTCTTGTTGAATTGTTCCTATTGCAGCTTATCTACTGCCTCTAGGTTTGGTGATTTGGGCTTTTTTCAGCACAGCTCTGAGAGGAATCTGGTTTGTGTTAATATATCAATACTCACTGATCTCTGCAGACTGAGTGTGGTCACTGCTCTGCAAAGAGAGAGAAAAGACAGCAACACACACAGAGCTCTTTGGGGAAAAAAGGCCAACTTTATTGTATGGACAGCCTGTATTTAAAGTGTGTTACGTGCAGCTAGGACAGGACAGTAGTTCATTGGACAATTGGGAAAAACATCCTTGGGACAGCACCTCAGGATGTATCCCACGGGAAAGACACCTGGTGTTAATCTTTATTATGGATTAACTGTTTTTCACCATATTATCACCTTGGGAGACTTCCTCCCTAACTGAAGCTATAGTCAGCTTATCAGCCCGGGAATGGACCTGAGAGTCAGGAGAAATCCAGGCCTGAAAAGGAATTTCCAAGCTGTAATTCCCTAGCTCTCTAAATGTGTGTGTCCACAACTGAGACTGTATTTTGTGAACACAGAAGAATGGAGGGAATGGGTTTCCTGGTCTGTGTCCTTGCTCACTGGCCAGAGTGGTGGCAATGCCCCCAGGGCTCTCTTTGGCAGCATTACTCCACGAGAGCTGGTACTTTCCTCTGATTCTGTTATCCTTGCAATGTGGGCATGCCAAAGAAGGGATAATGTGGTTCTGTGACCTTCTGCAGGTAACCTTTACTAGAAAAAAGTTCAGTGATCAATGCTCACCTCTCTGAAAATGCTGGTTTTGGCTACGTCTTCCTGTCTCAAAAGCAAACGAGAACAAAAGCCAAAGAGTGCTTAAAAACCAAGGGGCATTGGAGTGTGCTGGGAATAAGGTCATAAGATTGGTGTCAAGTGAAATGCTGCTCTTCATATCACCGAGATCAAAGTCACAGTGTTCATGCTGATCATTCCTGCATCCCATATTGCATTATGCTGAGCTAATTTGCCCTGCACGGGAGAGCTCCTAACTAGGTCAGCAGCCTGAGCCTCCATCAGGGGAGCTCGTGTGTCTGTTTTAAATAACCTCCTTTCCTGCCCAAGAGCGACCAGCTAATTGCCTACCCCGTGCAGGACAGGAAAGGGAAGTGTTTTTCCACAATTGATACTTAGAGAATATCCTACATTCTGCCCCCAAGGAATGTCAAAGTAGAGGATCTCAGTAGCAGAATTGATGGTTTAGTCATCAACTGCAGGTCCTCAGGGCAAGGCCATGAACTTCTAATCCAAGTTGTCATTCGGTTCTCTGTATCCAGGGAGGCAACCACGAATTATTGTTCCAAAACAATCAGCTGTGAGAGTCAACAGATACCAGCTTTGTTATGAGTGGAATTCACCCAAGCATTATAACCTTGACCTGCAGCATGTGACAGGACCAGGAATAAAACCAGTCTGCTCCTGGCCCTCTGCACAGCCTGCAGTGGTGACACAGCTCCATCAGGTGACACTGTAAATGCTCCAGCCCCATCTCCACTGCTGCTGGCCAGGCCAGCCTGGAGCCACCCTGGTGAGCCAGCTGGGTAAATGACACCAGAGGCCACTCTGCCTCTCTTCTGTCCCCTGCAAGTCATTTGGTGTCCTCTCCCTGCTGCCCACTGGGAAACCTCCACACCACAGAGACCAGAGCAGGTCCGTCAGGGAAGCCTCCAGCAGCTCCCTGCTCAGCTCAGTTTGGATGGAGGAGATTGGTTTTTTCATACAGAGTTCTGGCTGCAGCTAAGAAGTGATGCTCATCTCACCACAGCAAGGGCTCCATGTCAGGACTCATTTCTCCTTCTTCAGGGCTCCCCAGCCTCCTTTGGTGCCCTGTTGTATCTTGCAGAGCAGGCTCCTGAGACCTGCTGGTACTTGCCAGGAGCAAGGGAAAATTATGCCTTCAGAACCCAAATGAAAATTTGAAGTTTACCAACAAGACAAAAAGCAGAATTGTGGTTTTATGATTTTATTGTGTTTGAGAGTCCTTGAAGTCAGGGCTGACGTATTCTAAACTCACCTGTGGGTGTGGCAGAACTGAGTGTACAAGTCTGAACTCAGGTACATTTATTATGCAATTAAAAGACAAACCTACTGCTTCTGATTTTTGCTTTGGTGAAGGTCTTGTGAAATGTAAGAGCATGTTCATGGGGAGCTTTTGCTTCTTAAATGAAAGGAAGGGTGGCCTCTTTTTAAAAGGACCCATCTTTTATGTATCACCTGAATTGAAATAATTTCAGTAAAATAGTCTTGGGAACTCCTTTGATTGTTCAGCCTTCACTTTTTTGGCAGCACTTCTGTCTTTGAGCATAGGACTAAATCCAGCCACATCTTGGCCAGACCACTTTATTTAAAAGCTCGACAGAGCATTATGATATATTGCAAGTCCAATGATTGCCTAAGTCTTAGCTTTAGAAGGGCCCTTAGGGAGCTGTCAGGCTGCTGCAGATGTAGTGGTTTAAATTAACCTGCTTTATTTGTGAAACACAGATATTTGTGGGCAGGCCAGCAGCCAGCCCATCACTGCTGACTGACAGCTCCTGGGGTCAGGCTAAGCTGTTTGTAACTGGGGGCACCTGGGGAGTGGGTGGTGTGGGAGAGTCTTTTAGCAGAAGAGGTTTCAAGGTGGAACCAACCCTACAGGCTCCAGGGAAAAATATCTGACTTGCAGGGCTCTTATGCAAGCCATGAAGGTGGAAGAAAGCTTCTGGCTAGAGAGAAGCTAAGTGGGAAGGAAGAAAAAAAAGCACAAATTCTGTTGCTATTGTTGGCTGGCTCCTGCCTTCTGCCAGAGCCTGGAAAGCTGCAGGATCCTCTGTCCAGGAAGAGTTTCCTTTGACATTCCTGGGGACAAGCCCTTAGGGCCAGGACAAAACCTGGGTTTTTTGATGTGCAGATCAGAGTGATTCTGAGAGATTCTGCTCTGGCATGAGAAGGAAAACATCTCACAGGTGTTCTGCCACTGTATGAATGTGCCCTTCTGCTCCAAATGGGCACCCACGTTACCCAGGCTTAGGAAGAAGGATATACAAGTGTATCAATTTACAGGAGCAGAGCAGGCAGCCCTCGTGAACTTTTTGCAAAGGAAGCAGATTGGGTTTTGTTTTCCAGGCCAATTTTTTCTGGTTGCATTCATTTCTTGGAAGCACTGTCAACAGTTCTGTTTTGTTTTACGTCTGCACCACAGCAGGCTGGGAACAAGGGAAAGGAGGGGAATCCTGAGCCAGGCAGCAACCACGCACAGGCAGCGTGGTCCTGCTCCACATCCAGCATCACTGCCAGCTGGGAAAGCTGCTCTGGAAGGTGACAGGGCTGTTTACTCAAGATATTTACCCTGCAGGTGAATTTCCATGTCTCAGTCTCACTGGAAGTGAAGGGGCAGGGACATTCAGGGTAGGAAGCTCCTTTGGGGACCGGGGTGCAGCTGCTGTGGTGCCCTGGCCAGGCTGGGCTTGGAGCACAGCCCAGGGATAGGGCCAGGCTGGGCTTGGAGCACAGCCCAGGGATAGGGCCAGGCTGGGCTTGGAGCACAGCCCAGGGGTAGAGCCAGGCTGGGCACAGCATCACAGCAGGGCCAGCTCAGAGGGGCTCTGCCCCGTGACAGAGCTGCTCATGCAAACCTGGAATGAAGTTCACCAGGGCTGTGGGCGTGGAAAGTTA